GCAGTGTGCGCTGTGCAGTTTGCACAGTTCAAGTTGTGCATCTTTGAATTTGTGTGCAGGTGTGCACACTACAGTGACAGCGCACAGCGCATTGTTCACTCAGGTAATGTAACTTCTAAGCATGTATACTGTTTTTTTTTTCCCCCCGGGAAAATACAGTGCATTTGGACAAGGGATCCAGACCGGTCCGAATATTCCGGAATATTCTGGTTTTCCGGAAGTCCGGAAGACCCCGGGAGGTCCTGGTTCCGGGGTCCGGATTCGGTCTGTTGTCCGGTCCGGTGTAGCTATGAAAAAATGCCATCACAAAAATTAGCCAAGTCCACGTATGAGCGTGAGCTCTATGCCCTCTGTAAAGCGCTGGTCCATTGGAGGCATTACCTCCTAGGCAGATTGTTTTCTATTAAATCTGACCAGAAGACGCTGCGCTGGATCAAGGCACAACAGATGCTCTTTGACGCACTCAAGAGGTGGATTGAAGTCATAGACATGTATGACTCCAAGCTCGACCCTCTAAAGGGAGAGTACAACGAAGTGGCTGACGCACTATCGCGAAGGGCAGACTATCTGGCGTGCTAGTGACTGAGTTTGAAATATCTGACGATGTAACTCGATTCATGGTGGAAGCCTATCGAGAGGACGCAGTCATATCTGTGATCATGCACAAACTGGAAGCTAACAAGATTGTGCTGGTTGACGGCTTGCTGTTTCTTGAGAAGACTGGGAATACACAATTGTGTCTTCCGAATAGAGAATCTTTGCCTAGTCTATTTTTAGGACAGTGTCACGATGCAACTGGTCATTTTGGTTGTCAAAAGACAGCAGCAAACTTTGTGCAGAATTTTTGATGGCCCACAATGATGGATGATGCAAAGAAGTATGTAGAAACTTGCAGGTTTGTCAGGGTGACGAACCACGGATGCAGGCGCCGCTTGGGCTTATCAAGCCCTTGCCCATCCCCGCTGGTCCAGGTTAAAGTGTGTCCATGGATTTCATGGATACCCTTGTGAACAGCAAGACCGGTAAATGGCACATCTTTGTCATTGTGGACAGATTCACGAAGTATGCTAAACTAATCACTATGCCTGCGACAGCTAGGACTGACCACGTCATCAAGCTATTTATGGAAACTGGGTATGTGACTTTGGTCTCCCTAAGTCCATTGTAAGTGACAGAGATGTCAGATTCACTAGTGAACTGCAATGAAGTATGGCCCAATAGATGGGTACCCGACTGCAAATGACATCAAGGAACCACCCTGAGTCAAATGGTCAGGTCTGACAGATGAACCGGGTAGTGCAGCACTTGCTTCGCCATTATATTAAACCAAGTCCTGATGACTGGGACAAGAAGTCACCCCTCGTCGCCAGCCTGTACAATAACGCTTTGCACAGCACTACCGGCATGACTGCCGACCAACTGCATCTTGGCTGGAAGCCAAGATCTGCATTAGACTTCCTGTTGCCTGAAAATCAGCCAATTGCAGCGCCTGGCAGCATAGAGTTTGCTGTCAAATACGAACAGATGCTACAGCAGGCTGTAGAGCACATCAAGAAAGCTCAAGATGCCATGGTTGCATCTGAGAACAGACACAGACGACCATCTGAGTTTCAAGTAGGCGAAGGAGTCTGGGTAAAGTCATCTGAGTAGGGACAGGAATAAGGAATCTCATGTAAACTGAAGCCACAGTACTTTGGCCCCTGGGAAGTTTTTGATATAGTGGGAGATCAACCAGATGGGCCATCATACGTCATTCGCATCCCGGGACACCTACGTACCCACCCTGTCTTCCATGCATCAAAGTTGGCACCTTTCTCTGTCACTGATCAGTTTCCCTCCAGGAGATCGATGCCACCCCCAACCATGGACGGGCATGTGGACATTGACGACATCGTTGAACACAAGCTGATGCCCGTAGCCAAGCCTCCAGGCAGGGGACACCCTCCGAATCCACAGATGCAGTATGGAGAACGTTTCAGACATCACACGGATCCTAAAGAAGATCAATGGTTCACCAGAGAGGAATTGATGAAGACTGCTCCCCATGTCATCACAAGTTATGAACGAAATTTGAAAGGGAAGCAGCCTGCTGTGTAACGAGTTCTCAGAGGACTATCAAAGTAAAGGAGGAACGACTTCTCAGAGGACTATCAAAGTAAAGGAGGAGGAAGTGCGAGGGTTTGATCCCTCCGCATAACTGCACAAGGCTGTGCATCAGGCACGTGCCCTCCCTAAGGCGGGCCTCTAAACTCGTCAATTTTTGCAAATCTTGGTCCGCGCCAGACAGTTGCCACACGCCAGTTGGTTACATCCACCTCGTTTGTGAGAATCCACAATATTCGTGAGCTTTCCAGGCTCTTCCAGCAACGTGGTCGAAGCAGGGAGTATCGCCCGCTTGTGCCTGGGTGGTTGGGCATGCCTAACCAATTCGGTCCCAGGCCACTGTCAGAACGGGCCTGGGCGCAGACACTTTGGCCGAGACTGAAGCTACTGGGAAACTCGGTCTGACGGAGCGTGGCAAGGCAAAGCGCCTGTCACTTTCCATATAGGAGAGGGCTGGGCGCCAGATGGGGATTCGGGCACTCAGATGCTGATGCGGCAGCGCTGCTGGAGATAGCGCTCGCAGGCTGCTGCGCTAGTGTATGGTGAGTGTGCGTGCACGTGTGCGGTCGTGCAGAAGCAGGGCGCTGCTAGGCACCGCCATAGCCAGCCATAGCCGGGCTGGGCTTGGATAAGGTCAGCAGAGGTGGTGGTGGTCTTCCTGTATGGGAAGGAGACGTGGGTAGAGAAGAAGAGAGAGAGAGAGAGAGAGAGAGAGAGAGAGAGAGAGAGAGAGAGAGAGAGAGAGAGAGAGAGAGAGAGATGAGCATGATGATGTGAAGGCACATACCTGGTTTTGGCGATTGTCTACGAGGGTCGACATTTTCATGTACTTCGGTTCGGCTGCTGACGTCAACAGTTGCATTGTCAATACGTAGGCGGGTAGTAACTGTGTAATTGTAGTCTGGGCGCAGAGCGCCAGATAGGAGGAAGGGCTCTGGATACTTATGTTGGTGATGGCGAGAGTACGCTTTCATTGACAATCGGATCCAGTGTTTTGGGTCTTCATTGGTGAAGTATCGGTGCAATTCTGCTTTCTGGACAGTGTCGGACTTCCTGGCGTTCAGTGTGATTTTGCAATCTGGAATCTGTCATTTCGCTATTGCTCATTTTTTTCTTGCACATGCCCTAACACCAACCAACAAGGAGCCCACATATCCGCATCCCCCACTATGGAAAAAACAAAACAAAACAAAAAGATTTGTAATCATCTTACGTGGAAAGAATGACAACCAAGAATTGTCTTGGATGCAATCACCTGCACTAGAATGCAAACAAAGTCATCAAACTGTCGAATTCTACCAGGGTTGCTTCCAAATCCAGTAAAAAACAAAAGCACAGGACAATTATAACTACGGGATCTCTGAATTCTCCTGGGTATGGTACCACCGTGGAGTTATTTCCCCAGTTCTCACGATCTCGAATTTAATTGAATTGTCTCCTGAAGGTTTGGGTCCTTGTGTGAGTACCTTCTCAAGTTCTCAGGCAATTTAGTGCCGCGTGGTCTCTCAAGCCTCGTGCTCGCTATTGACATCGAGCACGCATTCAGCCGTGGCTTACTGTCCACGTATACGCCCGCCACCTGCTTGAGACATGGACAGTAACGTATGGCCCGGAATGGGACCGGTTTCACGTATCAAGTCCGTTTTGCTAACCTTACCTTCTGCTTCATCGACGCCGTTCTTCGACTTTCGCGTGCTGCTTTCAGGCATGACCTATCACTAGGCATGCCACGCACGTGTAGCTCACACCCTTGGTACATACTTGAGCCAGATGCGGCCATGGACAATTCATTGCACTGTGCCTTTTGTTTGTAGAAGCAATCGAGAGAAACTTTGTACATGACGACCAGAAAACAGAGTGCCTTGTGCTGCACATCCCTTCACCTCACACAAACCCCCAGACAGAGGCTCCTTGACCTTTCCAACAGTCTGCGACACTGCATTTTCCCGTCCCCCATCTCCCACCACCTCACTACTGCTGCATCTTTTCGACAGTCCATGACACCGCATATGGCCACAACAGCCGCTGCCTCTATGACCAACAGGCCATGACGCCATTCATACGTAGCACCCTGGCCCCCAAATGAACAGAATGCTACCGTCTTCCCCCGAAAAGCCAGCCACTGTTGCTGTGTGTAGACAATGTTGCACATGATGCATCTACAGTGACCGGGGGTTATATTCAGGTGAAGATGGTAAGTTGAAAATAACGTTCAATGGAGTCCATGCATCATTCAGCCGTTGCCTTGACAACGAGGTTTGGCCCCACCGCAGTGCTGTACTCATTGCAACATATCTAGTAATTTCACAACCACGACCACGTTTCCTAAGCACCAGTAAACCACCAGCATCGTCTGCTCCTCGCTCTCCCTCGTGCATGATCAGTTTCCCCCTCCCAATCCTACTATTGCCTCCCTGCTCTTCATCAGAAGACCCCAACCCCCGAATCAGTTTGAAATGCACAAAACTACTCGTAAGAATGTATGTTAGCCGTAGGTTCAAGTCATACAACTATGTATACAGCATTATGAGGAAGTCCAGTTGACATGCATGGGAAGCATGGGCTCCATTGAACGTTATTTTCAACACCTTTCTTTCCCCTTTTTTTTATTTTCTTAAAATGCAAAGCGGCCTTTTAAAAATTTGGACCATTTCTCGATTTATGCATGTCATTCTGGCGCAGGGAGCATGCTAATCTTTTCTGTACCATTCCAATTTTAACGGATGTCCGAAGGGCCCTTCTTTTCAACTTCTCATGAAAATAAAGTAGCGTTTGCTGCTTACTGCTGCATGCATGACAATTACCTTCCTCCTCCATCCACCCTTCCATGAGTTAGCAGCATTCCAGACCAAATTCCATCTGTTCAAGGTGCCAATGAGTAATTCAAGGCAGCTCACCTTCCGGTACTTTTATTACAGGCCTTCGTTCCTTAACCCACTTGTAGCTCTCCGCAAGGCTCCATCCTTTATGCCTCATCAAATAAGCCATAACTACTGCAGGGGACCTGTTCATCACACAGTGTTCAGCATTTTAGATTAGACAGCACGCCCCTTCTCAGTCACAAGGACTCCTCACAATCACCACGGTACAGTAATCTGGCAGCAGCCTCTTGGGGCTGTAGTCTCAGAGCTGAACCAGCAGAACGCGGCTTCAGGGAAAACGAAGGACGATAGGTTCACAGCTTCACAGGTGTTCAATGCCATTGAACCACTGTCTTGAGTTGAGTCTTTTTCAATTAAGCAACTACTCACTTGACAGGCTCCCCCCTCCAGATAAGGCTTACAGCACATGCACAGTCTGTTTGCCATCACATATAGACCAGGCAGAGGCTTCTGCACCCAAAAAAATGTTGTCAACTCCTTTATACACCACCAATGATTGATTTCCAATTCATCAGTATGTTAATCCTTGGGTTTCAACCAAAGCAAGATGGTTTCGACCAAGTGATCCTGCTAGCAGAGTCCCATGATGCCACAGAACTCACCCAAAGCAAGATGGTTTACAGACCATGCGTGACTTCGACAACTTAATCACTGTTCTGCGGACTACCTAGGTGAGGTTCCTGGGGGTGATCCATCAACGTCCATTGTATAGAAGCGTGGGGTGAGCTCAGCACAGAAGATGGAGGAGAAAAACTCGCTGTTAACTATGTGAGGTGAAATAAACTTACCGTCAACTTTGTGAAGGTAGAAATAACTCATTGTCGTCAACTATGTCGAGGACAGAAATGATGCATCATTGTACAGTTCTGTTATGAAGTAAACAGCTGCAGGCAAGGAAACAGCCAGGCGACAAGTAGGCGTCGCAAATGCACAGCCAGATTGGTCACCAGCCCCGTACGAGGTGAAATAGAGGGCAAGCTTTGACACCTATTCGATGAGGTTGCCAAGGCAACAGTGCTCATTGCTTCAAGGCTGAGAAACATTAACCACCACTACCTTTCAGGTGGGGCCGCTAAGTCGTAAAAGTAAACCTATACCGCGTTCTTTGGAGGCCGGCGGAGGCTGGGCTGGGCCACTGACCAGACAGACACAGAGGGGTAGATGAAGAAACCAGAAATGAAGGAACCACGGAATGCCTCATCTATATCGTCACATTTCTATCCACTAAACGAGCAAACTCTACAAACAAGAATGAAAGAAAGAGCAGACGGCATGAGGCACACTGGAACCATTCTTTCTGTTTTTTCCTAGGTTGTTTTTCCGGGCGCCCGGGCACCCAACTTGTGCCCGGATACACGCCCGGGTGCCCGGCCGGGCATGACCCCCGGGCAGCCTCAGCGCAAACAAACAAAAAAAAAAAAAAAAAAAAAAAAAAAAAANAAAAAAAAAAAAAAAACACACACACACACGAAAGTAAAAATAATCCAGAAAATAAATATGTTGTGTAGAATTGCAATACAAACAAGAAGGGCCAGTGCGGCTTCGCCCGCATGACATAGCAGGTCAGTTTCCTTGATCGCATCACTCTAACACTCGCGGATAGTGAATCCATTTTTCAAGGAATGACGTACAGAAGAGAATTAAAGCACGTAAACACTGGGTTACAGTGTTACCGAACCGATTATTCGGGGGGGTCTACCCCTTCCCCCCCCACCCCCCTCCCCCCCGCCGTTCGGACTGTTCCAGCCATTCGGGAGCCCCAGACGTTTGAGGATTACCCTAGATGTAGGATGAAGATTCCTCTTTTTCTTTGGGGGGGGGGGGATTCCCCTGGTCGTAAAGTCTGTGCCTGACAAATTTCATGTCATTCTGACAAACAAACAGAAAGAAGAGTAGCCCCCCATTTTTTTCATTTTTTCTTTTAACTTTGCTTTCCCCCCCCCTCTTTTTTTGTCTTGCCTTATCAATCACTCAATCAACGGTACTTAAGTTGGGTGGAACTACATGGGGTAGGTGGTGCTATGTCGGCGAGAAGGTCCCTTGGTTATGGTAACTAACTGGGCTCCGTTAAAATTCAAAAACCCCATTCACTTGACTGCTACCGTGGAGCGACAATTGAGGAATGCAGGGGGGTGAGGTAGAGGCACAGGATGGGCAATCAAACAAATGATCCGCCAACGGGCCTAGACCACAACCGTGTACCCCCTGGAATGACAGGTATAGAATCAAATAATTTTGAAATGCGTGCAGGCAATCAGTTTGATGATGATATCTTCAAGTCATCGCCCCGCCTGAAATGGTCCATTGTTATGCGTCTCTGCTATGTGCCGCAAGCAGCCGTGGCCTTTCATTACCTACCTACCACTACCTCTAAGGCTATACAGGGGACCCCTGCAATCATAGCTACCTCACAATGAAGGGGTTGCATGTTGCCCCTTACCAGGGATAGGACCCCCAGTGGGGCTCCAGCTAACACAAAGACCAAGCATTTTGCCAGTAGCTGTGGCTCCATTTTTATCTTCCCTCCCCCGCGTCGAGTAATAGCAGTTAGAAAATCATCATATTATGAAGAGAGGGAGGTGAGAAGTTCGAAGGTAATAGGGAAACACAGAACGAATTCTTCAAGGGGATAGGCACAGAAATAGCCTTGAGAAACTGAGGGAAGTCCTTTGGAACATCCGTCAAAATTGGAATGAAGATTAGCATAGCCCTATGCAGGATGGCATGCAGAGATAGATTAATGGTAGAGTTTTTGGAGAACGAAAATAAAGGTGAATGAACAACAACTGGTTCATGAGAACAAAGGAAAGGATAAGAGAGTGCAGATCACATAAGGACAACTTATATCTAAGACACGAATTGAGTGTGCAGTGGAAAAGCAAGGAGAACTGTGGAAAACAGTTGATATGCAAATGTGATTAGTCATATAAATCCTCTATAAATGGGAGCAGTAGCGTTTTCAAATTGACTTGTGCGAGGGTTCATTCGAATACTGAGCGGATGTTTGTTCGCCCGCAATACATTTGCATCTTGCAGGCCGCTTCTGGGAACTGAGCTGCTCAAACTACCCAGTTACTGTAGACTTCAACTGCAGGCCTCTTGATGAACCTCGGCGTTGATGTTGATCAGACGTTCAACAATGGTTCTTGGTCTCTCAATAAGCAATTCGCAAACTGTCATAAAATATGTCACTTATGTCTAGTAGTATCATAAGCAAAGTCGGTGGTTTGTACGATGGGATAGGTTAAAGGTTCATAGGTAAAAGGTTGTTCTCCCGCTGCAGTTGGTCATTCACTTTCTGGAAATCAAAGATGGGATCATAATAGTGAGGAATGCATGCTCGTCTGGAATATGATGCGGAATTTGATTGCACAGCTATGACTGCCATCTCATTCTCCAACCCACGCATCTCACCACGCAAGATTAGGAATTTTGTTACACGTATGCTATAGATCACTCTTCCACAGCTATGTCATAAAGGAGAACCTGGTTGGATAGTTATTTAATAATTATTTTAGTAATTGTCCAGCTTCAAAGCATTCACTCCTTTCCAAGGGCACGACAGGCAATGGAGTTTGTACATCCGTGTGGCACAGAGAGAGAGACAGAGGAAGTTTCCTGCACGTGTTGTTGTGTGGGGCATCAGTGGGAGATTAGCTCTTATATTTTCATGGGCATGGGAAAGGGGCCGCAGAACTTGCCTGTGGTGCCTCCCTCTCTCTCTCTCTGTCTCTCTGTCTCTCTCTGTCTCTCTCTCTCTCTCTCTCTCTCTCTCTCTCTCTCTCTCTCTCTCCCGCGCGCGCTCGCTTCAATAGTCTGCCCCCTTCAGTCTCCGTTTGTCTGTCTCATCCTAATCAGCACTCCTCTCCCTTTGTGTTCGTCTATTCATCTGTCTTTTGGTCATGTATCTGCTCGTCTGTGTTTTGGTTATGTATCTGCCGCCTCGGTCGCATGCTCAAAGAGAACTGTTTCCATTTGCCTTTATTTCCCTCGGGTCATGCTCAGAAAAAACAACACTAAAAAACACCACTGCACAGACTGTTCCGTCCGAGCTTCACGGTGAGTTATGCAGGGTGTTTGTTGACAAATTTCCCACGATGCATTTCACTGATGGATGAGAAGCCACACTGGCCAGAGGCAGAAATACCCCTCCAGAAAGTGGTAGACTTTATTCAGATAAGCTCTGCCTGCATTTCGCCAGTGTCTGACACATCAGACGTACTCACAAAGAAGACCCACTCTGTCTGTCCATACTACACTGTGCTTGTTTTTGAGCCAATATCTATGTGTCTCACTGTGTTCGTACATGTGTGCACACAGAGAAGATAGTCGGGCTGTTGTACGTTGCTCAATTTCACGTAATCCCAAATCATCCAGCAGTCCACAGGCGTTTCTTCAAAGTGCACCACATTTTTATTAGTAGATACCATTTTCTCCTCCTTTTCTAACTCTCTTGGTTGACTGGCTGCTGTGTGCCAGTAGCATTTCTTTCCTACCCGTCATTATCCATCCCCTTGCAAGCTCTACTCTATACTACTCCATAACTCACCAGTACATCTCCCACTTCCTACCCTCCTCTGCCCCCAACTTCTCTATTCTCCAGGCGTGCACGAAGTCGTGTGATCTCTCTCTCTCTCTCTCTCTCTCTCTCTCTCTCTCTCTCTCTCTCTCTCTCTCTCTCCATATGAAATATTTCAAGCAAGCCTTGCTGGGTGGTTTCCAGTCGGTAATCAAACCTTTAAACCTCATCGTACGACAAAACCTAAATAAAACTACAGGAAGAAAACACTGAAGAAACAAACGAAATAAGAGGAAAAAAACAACGCCTGGAAATCACTCTTAGACAACGCTGTAAGTAAATGGCCTTGCCAAATATGAAAAGTGAGGCGCAGCTACTCGCAAAATGCTCGTTCTTTGTGTTAGCCCAGCCCCCAAGGCAGCCCAACCCCGGGCAAGGAGCGACATCCAATCCCTTCATTGCAGGTGTCCCCTCTAAAGCCTTAAGGAGTTCTGCGTGGTTACTGAAAGGTGAATTGAGGAAAGAATATCACTCCGCTGTTTGGTAAAAAAACAAAAAGCAATCGCATGCCAATCCAACTTTTCAAACCCAGCAAACGACAAA